GGCTTAAACGCACTCAAGTTAGCTGAAAAGGCATTCATTTAAAAAAAAAAATTATAATAAGTTTTGGTGTGTACAAGCAGACAAAAGATCTATTTATGAGTGTTTTAGGAAGGAAACAGGGTGGAGAGAATAAAACTCGCATTTAATTGTACACTATTATAATGTGAATCAGGAAAACATGGGGTTTTATAAATCTGAAAACATTTGAAGTTAAAAACAAAAACCATTATGTACTTTTTAACCACAAATCCTTGTCTGGAACTTGCACTAGGCGAAAAATCCTGGAGTGTTTTCCCTCAAAAACCTTCTTTTTGACTGAAAAAAGAAAGACATATTGTTTGACGTATAATTATGAGGAAATTTAAATTCTGATGTGAACTACTCCTTTAATTGGAGAGTTTCACATCACCTGTGTAATCTTAAATAATATATAATTGTATGAACTTTAAAGTAAGCCACACATAGTATTCATCGTACAAAATTATACAACATTTAATTCCAGTTCTAAAAATGTGAGTGGCACTGCAGAAGTCAAACACCACTGGGACTTTTCACTATTTGTATCCCTCCGCTTGTTTCTGTATTAAGCCTTGTTCACACTACATGACTTTAAAACGTCGGGCTGAACTGTGCGGTTCACACTACATGACTTGCTCTCTGTGAAATCAGGAGTGTTCAAGTTGTTTGGCTGATGACACCACACGACACAACGTGATAGATCCGCAACAGGAGGTAACGGACTCCACGAGTTGACAACGCACTACATAGAGATACAACCACGATCGGATGATAAGAGCAAATCATCTGTGACTAATGAGAGCTGTTTCAGTACTATGGTACGGTCTAAATCCTGAAAATAATCAAATAAATAAGGAGTTGACAAACCACGTTTTGTCACGAAAAACCACGCAATGAAACGAACCAGAAATGACGCGGAACAGCACGCGCGCAGAACACAACGCGCGGATATGGACGTCCGACAGAAACAGAGCCATGATTTGCTCTGAGAAAAAAAAATGCAAAAAAAGAAAATATAAGATTTACCCGGTGACCTCAACCCATGCCTTGCTCTGATTGGCTGTAGCTCATGACATCACTGAGGTTGAGTTACGCAACGGCTCTGGATATCTAGCATGCTATTTTTCTGAGCTCGGCGACGCATCTGTGAGCGTCTTCGCTGCGTTTTTGGCTCTTTCATACTAACAGATTGGCGAGCGTTAATCGCCTGCTAATCCCCCGCGATTTGCACGCGATAACACCCTGACTGGTCGGCGAGCTCAACGATATGCAAATCGGGCTTAGAATTATGTAGTGTGAACTTGGCTTTACTGAGGTAAACGCTGCACAATGATATCGCCCTTTACAACGTCGGACACTTAAAAGTAAATTATATTAGTCTTCTACTTAACTGTGTAATCAAACAGTGTTGCTAATGTTACACAAAGCATGTTCCCGTTCGACATAACAATCATCAGAAACAATTTGAACAACACAATGTCCAACATGACATCATGACTTTTGCGTAAACATATACGCCACTTTCGAGTCAGGTGGCGTGTTATCTCTACGCATTTTGAGCTATCCGCGTGTATCCGCGTGTATGCGTATATGTCTACGCCATTAACGTCCGCGTCATTCCGCGTGTCCGTACACGCCGTCAAATCTCCAGTCATAAATGCCATTAACCCCAGTGACGGTTAAGTTTAGGGATGGGTGAGGTAAGTCATATCTTTTTTTTTTTTACCTAGGATGGTAAGGGAACAGTCATAAATGCCATTAACCCCAGTGACGGTTAGGTTTAGGGACGGGGTTGAGGTAAGTCATATATTTATATAACGTTAAGTCAACGGCGTTCATAAACACGCTGAAAGGCGATTATGCGTCTTGATAGCACGCCAAAAATGGAAATACAAATTGGCGTGTCATACACACGCTACTTCATGAGATCAGTCTGCAATGTCAGTGGAAAAAGGCATATAGAGCATCATGCAATATTGCTAAAACCACCCATTTTTTATATCAACAGAAAAATATACTAGATATAACCTGGCTTCTCTTGAAACTCCACTACTATTTTGCTGTTAATAATTTGCTAAAGCCCACCATGTTTGTACCTTAACTGGGTTCTGGAGGCAGTTTATAACTTTCGGGAAGCTGAGTTTACGCTGCATAACTGACATCTGCAGTCGGCTGCTCTCATGTTCGCTCTGTTTACGTAACGATAGCTGTTAGCTCGGTAATTATTTGTTTTTATTACATGGCTTGGTTGAATTTTAATGCAGAATGCGGTTTGTTATTTCCCTGGTTATTTCTTAATAACAGACCGCTGCTAACTATAACATGTTGCCATGGATTCTGAACGTAGAGACGGAACAGACTATTTATGTTTTTTTTTTATATGTGCTTATCCCATTAACAAGATAGTTGACAATGTCCAAGTATGAGGATGAGAAATCAATGCAGGATCAGCACTCCAACTTACTGCAGTCAGCTGAGCTCATGGATGACAATTTTATCAAATAACGGTACCTGGCATATTTATCGAGTTTATTGCGGTTACGGCATTTTCTCAGTTTTCTTGTGCTTCTGCAGTTTTGCGAGTTAATTACTTGTTATCTCTACTCTCGTAATCTCTTCAATGCTCACAGTCAGTAGCGATACCTCTAAAAGGGCGCCGCGGTGACGTCACACACAACAAACCCACGTTTCTGACAAAGACCGATAGCGAGGCGGTTGTTATAGCGAAGACAAACCCTTCAGATTCAGGCTGATTCAAGACCCCTCCGCTTCGCGACGGCTCACAATCATCCGCCTCGCTATACATTATCCCGAACTTATTCTGTCTGTTCAGCGTCCTCTAACAAGGACAGGTGGGGGTGGGGCTCATAATGTTCACAATTGTTTTTGATTAGTTGTTGGTTTAATGATGGATGAGGTAATGGCTGTTATGTTATTTTCTTTTCAATGACGTTCCTTGTTACATGTTCATTGCTGGATTTATAGAAAAACATCAATCAGTATTGGATATCTATAATTAATATAATGGATGTAATTAAAGAATCCTTACACTATAACATAAAATATGAAGTGTAACCATAAGTGTAACGCAAAAAAAAAAAAATACGATTTTTACACCTATTTTGAATTCTAAAAAAAAATACAAATACTTTTCCCCCCCTCAACAAATACACAAACACACACACAACATCAACAACACAACATCAACAACAGCAACTTGCTGGATATCTTCAGTAGGTTGGATCATTCACAGCTGTACAGAATTTGTTGTTTTTTAAACGGATCCCTTGCTCTCTTGTACCACTGATGACATCACGGACTGAATTTGTTGTTTTTTAAATGGATCCCTTGCTCTCTTGTACCACTGATGACATCACTGACAGAGTTTGTTTTTTTTTTTTTTAAATAAATCACATGCTCTCTTATTCCACTGATGACATCACGGATGACATCACAGTAGCATTCCAAGCTGTACTGTCATATGATGCACCTCAGAGGCTCATAACAGCAGTAGTTGAGAAAGGATTATCAGTGTTGCCTGGGTACTAGCGAACAAATACCAGTTTTTTAGGTCAGCAGATAACTGTACAGTTCAGATGGCTCAAGGTGACGGCAACATCGCTGAAGATGTCGTTCAGGATTTCGAATTGTTGGTAGATTATGTGATTCATGCTGCAATTGTAGATGGTAATATCCAGATGGATCTTCCAGATATACGCATTCCACTTCGTTTAACTCCTACCAGGACAAGTATTGATATTGGGTTGGTTCGAAGGTCTCTAAATGTACTTGGTCAGTATTCCCTGACACCTGGTCCTGAATACAATCCATTGCTCTCCATGCTGGCCTGGAATGCAGATCACTGGTCTGTCACTTTGCACGCATCAGGTGACTCTATGGAAATTGCATTTTATCCAGTGTATATTAATAGCCAACCGGCAGAACGTGTGGAGACACCAACGAGTGAGTCCAGCACCGATGATGAACAGCCTGGACCATCTCAACAGATCAACAACAGCTCTGAGATTGGATCTGGAGAATCACATATGGATGGGTCCAGCACAGATGACGAACAGCCTGGACCTTCTCACCAGCACAACAACCGTGAGATCAGATCTGGAGGCTGCACAACACCTTCTGACCAAAGCTCAGGCAGCCAGGTTGAGATGAGACAGGGTGTTAAAAGAAGAAGAAACACTTCTGGCAGTTCAAAGAGTAGAGAACGGAAAAGGAAGAGATCAGACCACCACTCTGACTCTGATTCTGATTCTTCAAGTTTTTCACTCTTCTCAGGCATTTCTTCTCCAGGATCACTTGGAGAAACATCCAGAGATGATGAACAGCCTGGACCTTCTCATCGGGCCAACAACAGATCTGAGATCAGAACCACAGGATCCAGAACACCTTCTGTCCAAAGCTCAGGCAGTCAAGTTGCGATGACACAGGGTGTTAAAAGAAAAAGAAAGACATCTGACAGGTCAGAAAGCAGAGAATGGAAAAAGAAGAAATCACATTTTGATTCAGATAATGATCAACCTGGACCTTCTCACAGAGACAACAGTGAGGCCAGAGCTGTAGGATCATCTATGGATGGGTCCAGCAGAGATGAAGAACAGCCTGGACCTTCTCACCTGGTCAACAGTAGATCTGAGATCAGATCCGGAGGCTCCACAACACCTGCTGACCAAAGCTCAGGCAGTCAGGTTGAGATGAGACAGGGTGTTAAAAGAAAAAGAAAGACGTCTGGCAGTTCAAAGAGTAGAGAACGGAAAAGGAAGAGATCAGACCACCACTCTGACTCTGATTCTTGTTAGCACACCCACATCACATGCCGGAGACGTCGGTTCGAATCCCACTCGAAACAGGTGGAGTAGGACCGGTTACATTTGGTGAACCGGATGGGAGTGGGGTTAAGGAGGATTGGCAAGCTATTAAGGTATTTTCTTTAAGTAAGGAAATTTAAGTAGTACACATACATTATGTTTTGTAATGTATCTAATATATTGTCCTTTTCAATATTTCTAGCCACTCTTTGCATCCTGTGATGGAACAGCATCTGGAGCTGAATAGATATATGCACGCATAAGTTCCGCATTTGACGCAAGGCTGCTCTTCAGTTTCCGGTTGGGGAGATTTAAAGCGGAGGAGAACCGAAGAAAACGGGATTATGGCAGAGTCTTCAAAATTTACTGTCCAGTCTTTGAAACGAAACTTTAATACATTTAGATGTAATTTTATATATAGTTATATTTATTTCACATAATAAACAAAGAAGCATTTAACAAAACGAAGGGTGTCTGTTTTTGTGACTTACATTTCTTTAGTATAGCCATAGAGTATAAAAAGCACACCCACCTCATATGCCGGAGACGTCGGTTCGAATCCCATAGTAGTGGACGCTGTCATGTTCATGCGCGGAGGTGTGTTTTTGGTGCTTCCATCGCCCCAACACAATGCTAATGAAATACTCAACCAGCTTAAAATGTTCCAATTTATTGAAGTAACAAGTAGTCTCTAAATACAAACTATGTTAAAAAAAGTGCAGCTGTGTCAAAATGTAAAAAAAAAAGAAAAGAAGAGAAATCCATTTGGCAAGACAGGTCTATTTAAAAAAATGAAAATAGACAGCACATAGCCGACACGTTGATCTGATTGGTTACAAGGTTTGTGACATCATAAACGCTAGCAATTGTAAACCACTTTTTTGATACTGTCTTTGATTCACTGTAATATATAAATTTGCACATGGTATGTCTTAAAGCATATTAAAAACACCACATAAACAAAAAAACTTGATTTTTTGTCCCGCTTTAACTTATTTAGCTGTGTTGACTAACAGTCCATCACATGTAAATAGCCTATATTTGAGTCTAAGTTTTCTGATATTACATTTAAATTAGTTAATATATTATAAATTATTTATACTGAGCCCTCCTTCAGGAACAACCAGCTTGCGAATCCACATATGAATTCATTTAGGTTTTTGAATTTTAAATGATTCGTCTTTATAATGATGAGAACACAAGGTTCGGGCGTTGCAAATATGAACTCTGACCACTGATTCTTCACAGGCTCGTCCCTGGACAATGGAAACAAGTGGCTGAACTGTCTTTGTGATGTAGAGCACAGCGTCTTCTCGACATAATGCGATTCAGCTGAAGTATTTGAATGTGTTTTAGACGTATCTTCAAGTCTGCACGCGCAGTTGTTGGGATCGGCCAATGACCTCTCTACGTCACGATGTAACAGCTATTGACTCGTTTCAAAAACAATTCATTTCATAGACTCAGAGTCGACTCTCACTTTTGAAATACAATAACTTTATATACGGTGCACTTTCAGATATAAATCTTTGCAGGATGTTTTCATTCCCTTAGAGCTATATTCCACACTATATGAACAGTCATTTTCAAAAATCCATGATAGGGGCTCTTTAACTGGGTTCCGGAGGCAGTTTATACCTTTCAGGAAGCTGAGTTTACGCTGCATTATTGACATCTGCAGTCGGCTGCTCTCATGTTCGCTCTGTTTACGTAACGATAGCTCTGTCAGCTCGGTAATTATTTGTTTTTATTACATGGCTTGGTTGAATTCTAATGCAGAATGCGGTTTGTTATTTCCCTGGTTATTTCTTAATAACAGACCGCTGCTAACTATAACATGTTGCCATGGATTCTGAACGTAGAGACGGAACGGACTATTTATGTGTTTTTTTTATATGCACTTATCCCATTAACAAGATAGTTGACAATGTCCAAGTATGAGGATGAGAAAGCAGCGCAGGATCAGCACTCCCACTTACTGCAGTCAGCTGAGCTCATGGATGACAATTTCATCAAACAACAACACAACATCAACAGCAACTTGCTGGATATCTTCAGTAGGTTGGATCATTCACAGCTGTACAGAATTTGTTGTTTTTTAAACGGATCCCTTGCTCTCTTGTACCACTGATGACATCACGGACAGAATTTGTTGTTTTTTAAATGGATCTCATGCTCTCTTATTCCACTGATGACATCACGGATGACATCACAGTAGCATTCCAAGCTGTCAGAGGCTCATAACAGCAGTAGTTGAGAAAGGATTATCAGTGTTGCCTGGGTACTAGCGAACAAATACCAGTTTTTTTAAGTCAGCAGATAACTGTACAGTTCAGATGGCTCAAGATGACGGCAACATCGCTGAAGATGTCGTTCAGGATGAAGATTTCGAATTGTTGCTAGGTTATGTGATTCAAGCTACATTTGAAGATGGTGATGCTCTTCCAGATATACGCATTCCACTTTGTTTAACTCCTATCAGGGCAAGTATTAATATTGGGTTGGTTCGAATGTCTCTAAATGAACTTGCTCTGAATTTCCTGACAGCTGGTCCTGAATACAATCCATTGTAGGGCCCTATGAAATCCATTTTATTTTTTTCTCAAATTCCGTTTTATTTTTTCCCAAATTCCGTTTTAATGTTTGGGAATTAAGTTTTTTTTACCCTTGACTGTTATTTTTGTTGTAAAAATAGTATGCTTTTAAAGTTAATGATTAAAATGTATTAAAAAAATAAATAAAAAAAACATTAGGAATGACCTTAAATTTATTGAGGTAATATTACAGACATTTACTCAGGAGCTTTTTTTCAGGACAAATACTGCATGATGCAACATAACACTGCACTCTTCAAGTAACAACAAAATATGGTTATGAGCTTTAAACTGTAATATAAATTATATTCGTTTATAGAAGTTTAAATAAAGTCACACTCTGTCTCCCACGGAGTTCGCTTCGCTTTTGTCCAGTCCAGCGACAGACGTGGTGTGCACGTTGTGTGTGTGTGAGAGAGAGAGACGGGAGAGCGGGGAAATACAACTGAAAGAATACGGTGCGTGTTTTAAATAGTGTTAAAAAACGAAACGCAGTATGTGGCGGCGAATTAGTCAATGTGTGGGAAACACTGTATAACTAAGTCACGTGCGAACTGCTCGGCTCGGCACGGCTTACAGCGTCGAGTTTCTTAACTTTAGCCGACGAAAGCAGTGCCGTGGAGAGCCGCTTCGCCATACTTTCATTGATTTGATTTCGTCATTGGAGCTGAAATGACGGGTTGAGGAGATTTGGATTTGTGTCGCCCAGATTTGCTTCCCCTGGTCTGCATTTTCACCAGATATGCGTTCATCTCCCACACAAAAACAGAATTTCAAACCAAATATGTAAAAATCCACGAAATTCCACGTTAACACTAGATTCCGCGTTAAATGGCCAATTTCGTCTATGATTTCGTAATCGCGGAAATCATAGGGCCCTACCATTGCTCTCCATGCTGGCCTGGAATGCAGATCACTGGTCTGTCCCTTTGCACGCATCAGGTGACTCTATGGATATTTCATTTTATCCAGTGTACCTGTATATTAATACCCAACCGGCAGAACGTATGGAGACATCAACACGTGAGTCCAGCACCGACGATGAACAGTCTGGACCATAGGGTTGGGAATCGTGAGAAATTTTCCGGTTCCGATTCTGGTTCCGGTTCCCATTCAATTAAAAATATTAGTAAGAGAAAAATCCACCATCCCTTTTGTGTTTATTTCTTATAGTACTTGAAAAATGGTAATGTAAACAAATTCAACATATTGTGATGAATGGCGTGGGGGTGTATCTTTTTGTGTTGTTTGGCGTTGGTTCCGCCCGTCTGAACCATTTCGTAGTATGTGCTTATTGATGATCGATCTCACCTGGACTGGAGGACATTTAAGAGAGCAGAGGGGAAGTTCGGGAGGACGTGATTGGCTTCTCGCGCTCGGAGGGAAACGGGGACGCTTTGTGTTGCTCGAGACCATTAGGGTTTGTCCGGCAACGAAGATAGCTAGCTAGAGAGACATCGGTGTAGTTAGTAATAGTGGGACGGGGGTATAGGAGCGCTGGCCACGTGTTCCTGGAGCGATTAAAAGAGCTGCGTCTCGCATAAAATAAAGAACTCGTGCATCACCAGTGATCCTTAAAGAGAACCTAGCGCGAAGAGGACTAATTAATGCCATTATTGTGACTGCTGTGGCTGGGACGGACAAACGCGGACAAACAACGCGTGCTGCCTCTGTGGACTTCATCACGGCTGATTCCGTTCCCCGAGACCTCTGGGCGGGGTCTTATTTGCCTGGAAATCGGGGAAGTGTTTTATATTTTAACCATTTCATGAGTTATGTGTGGGTGTGAATGTGTATGTGAGAGTTGCGTATGTTAGAGTGTGTACGCCCATTGCTTTGTGTACGCGGGACCAAGGACGATGATTCTTCCACTTGATAAAGGATTGTAGTGTGATCACGAGTTCTAGTGTGCTGGGCTGGGCTGGGGAGTAACCACTGGAGTGTAGTGACGTTTGAAGTGTTCACTTGGGGATCGCGATTGTCCTAGTGCGCGCGTGCTGAGTTAATGTGGGCTAGAGCCTCTTTCAATGTGTATTGATGTGATGGTACTATTTTTCTAAATCAGATTGTCAATAAAAATATATATTTTCTCTAAAATCCTGTGTGGTGACGTGCCCTCTGTCCTCCATAAATTGTTAAACCTCTTTAAAGAATAATTAAGGTTTACTACACTGGTGGCAGCGGTGGGATAAAATAAAAATAAATAATAATGGAGGGAGAGGGTACGTCCGTGTCTCAGTCAGCATCAAGTTCATTAGCTTCAAATGGCGAGGCTGCTGCTAACGTTAATGTAACTCCAATTTCTCGCCCTCTCTTCATGCCGGAAACATTTACTGGGGTGGGACGAGAATGGTCTGACTGGTCTGAACAATTTGAGATGGCGGCACAAGTGAATGGGTGGGATAATGAGCTCAAGTTAAAGTTTATGTCTTTATTATTTTCTGGTCGAGCCAGAGATATTTATGGAGGACTGCCTTATGAAGCAAAGAATAATTATGTTCTTTTAAAAGATGCTATGGGTAAGTGTTTAGAGCCTTGTGAGAGTGCAGACTGGAATCGGGTGAGCTTTTCTTCCCGACGTCGACTCCATAACGAGACGGCTCGTGAGTTTGGGAATGCATTAAGACGTTTGATTTATAAAGCTTACCCTTCCGCTGACGGTGCTACACAAGACTTACTGGCTCGTGACCATTTTGTTGCACATGTAGGTAGCGGTGACATGCGTATA